GCCGCCCACTGCTTCTCCCGTGCCCTCCCCTTCCAGTCCCAGCTAAACACCAACACGTGTCCGGGAAAGCGCCGTGCCCACCCTGCGTTGGAGCCCCTGTGAGTCCCTGGGGCTGCTGTCTGCGGGAGCACCATACAGGGCCAGGTGGTGCAAAGAGGCTAGGGTGGGGCCTGGGCAGTGCAGGAGCGTCCCCCCACCTCCCACAGGGCAGCCCCTCCCGGCCACCTCGCCGGGAACAGGGTGAGCGCAGGTGAATGTCAACATAGAAACTGCCGCTGACAGGTGCAGAGCGCGCATCTGGGAGCCAGCCCGGGGAGAGGCTTCTGCCTGGGAAGGGGGAGGGCCTGCTCAGCGCCCCCCCCCCCCCCGCCAAGGGCTCCAGAGTCCCGCCCCGCAGATCCGTGGGGCTGAGCTGGGCAGAGGTGAGGCAGGTGCCCCAGTGCCCTCGGGCAGGATCCTGGGCCCGGGCCGGCGGGCAGCCAGGCTCGGCTCTGCACTCACTGCTCCAAGTCGTCTGCTCCTGGGGCCTCGCCCAGTGCGGCAACCACTCCAGGGCCCAGGACAGAGGGCAGCTCTGCCCCTTTCGGCTCCAGCACAGGAGAGCGGCATGGGGTTCTGGCCAGGGGCACTGCCCTAATGGGACATGGAGGCTGTGCTGGGGGGGGGGCTGGCCCTCTGGGCTTGGGGACTCAGTTCTGTGCTGGGGGGCTGACTGGGGTGGCCCCCCTAACGGGGCTGCTGTCTCGCCTCTCGCAGCTGATGGACTGGAGGCTGAGTCAGGACGGGCTTCCTGCCGTGGCCTCGGCCTGAGGCCTGAGGCCGTGACTCAGCTGCTGGATGTTCCCTTAAGTGCCTTCTCCCCTCCCCGTAGGCGTTTTGCTTAAGGATATGCCCACTCACCCCACCGGCCCCCCATATGCCCACCTTTGTTCCCACATGGGGAGGGGGCTCCCCCTTGCCCCCCACCCTGGGATGCCAGAGGTGGCATCCGCGCATCTGTTGTAGCTGTTCTCTGCCACCGCATCGGCACGTTCCCCGCCGTCCCCCCTCCTCGCTCCGCGCTCCCTTCCTGCTCCAGCGCCCCACCTCTCCCCACCAGGGCCCCCCTCCCTGCTCCGGGGCCCCTCCCCGCTCCAGGGCCGCACCTCTGCTCCAGGCCCCGCCTCCCTGCTCCTTCCCGCCCCAGGCCTTCCCGCCCCAGGCGCTCAGACATCACTCGGGAGTTTCCTAGCAGCGCTGTTCCCCGGGGCTCCCTCGGGGCTCTGCGGGCAGCCAGGCCAGCGGTCCTCTCCCTGGGGCGGGGCAGGTTCTTCTGGTCCGGGCGGGGGAGGATGTGGTGAGCAGTGGCGGCGGCTCGGCTGGAAAGCCGGGGCGTGAGACTCCGAGACTGCGCCGAGATTCTGGGCGCCCGGGCTCATGGCCGCGGCCGGGAGGTGGGGGGCGGGGGGCGCCTTCGCCTCGCAGAGGGAGGTCGTGCTGGAGCGGCTGTGCTGGCTGGACGGGGACGGCGAGTGGGCCCGCAGGGGCTACCTCTACGGGCAGCTGTGCTGCGTAGGTGGGTGCCCCGGACCGGGGCGCTGGAGGGCGGCTGGACTGAGTGACGCGGGACCAGGTGTAGCCCCGCCTCCTCCGAGCACCGCTCCGGAAGCACCTGGGGATGGGGCGGGGCGGGGCCCGCCGCGCTCTACTCGCTGCTTCGCTGGGGAAGGGGGATGGGAGAGGGCGGGTCCGGGCCCCCCCCCTCGGTGTTCTGCTGGCCGAGCCCTCGGTTTCCAGGCGCTGGCTTTGGCAGTCAGGACGCTGGGGAGGGAAGGAGGGAGGCAGGCCTGGAGGGCGGGGCTCTGGGCCTTCTGCCGGTAGGGAGCGCTCCTCTCGCCAGCGGTACCTTTCCCAGTCACCAAGATGGGGTTCCCATCCCAGGCTCTTTTTCACCAGTTGAGGGACCTCCAGCCTTAGTTTCCACGTTTGTACAAGGGGCTATGATACTTCTCAGAGGACCATGGGTACCCCTGTCCCCTGGGGGCCCCTGGGCTGGCAGCTCTGGCAGGCTGCCTTGGGCTGGCCAGTGCTGGGGGGTCCTGGGGTGGGTCTGCAGGAGGTGGGCAGCCAGCTGAGGCCCAGCAGTGAATGAGGAGCAGGCTGGGTCTAGTGGGGCGGGTGGGTGGACCAGCCAGAAGGGGTGTGTGCTGGTTGGGGGGTCTGAATAGGATGGGGACAGCTACAGTCAGAACAAGGGTCAGGGCTGGGAGGGAGGGGGTAGGGAGAGTTCAGGGCTCTGGGGAGGAGGCCAGAGGCCAAGGAACCCACAGGCAGGAGGTGTCCAGGAAGAGTAGATGCTGGAGCTGGCCCTGGGGAGGTGGGGGCCCTGCCCAGGCCCTCCAGCCCGGGGCAGCATCCTTGGAAGCGGTTAATAGCAGAGAGAACGCTGGAGCCTGGGGTGGGGCTCACACGAGGCTTGGACACCAGGCCTTGGCCTCTTCAGGCTCCAGCCTTTCCTGGAGTTCCCTGGGCCCACTTCCTGGCTCATGGTGGGAGTTCTGGTGTCTGTGCCCCTCACTGGAATGACATCCATTCCTCTCCACTGCTGAATCCCAGGACTAGCTGCGAGCCTGCATACAGCAGGTGCTCAGTATGGGCTCTTTGGATGCAGGGATGTTGCTAGGGTGAGGGGTCCTCTGGGGACGCAGAGGTGTGTCTAGAGGCTCCAAGTTGGGGCAGAGGGGCCCAGGGGAGAGTGTGGGGGTAGGAGCATACTGTACTGGGAGGGCTGACCGTTTGGGGTCAGACTTGGGATTTTGGAGAATCTCTGGAAGAGATGACACCTGGTGGGCCATGGGGGCCACTGAAGCTGGTGAGCCTCCCCTGGCCTTGGCCAGTCAGCGGGTGGAGCAGGGGAGCTTCGTTGCATCTCGTGGGGGCTGAGGTTGGGGGAAGGAGTGTAAGACATTTGGCCGAGTCCTGGGGGGCTGGCCATGTCCCTAGGTGTGGGGAGGGGGCACAGCCTTTACTAACTGCCAGCTTGGGCACCCCGACCCCGTGGGGTTTGGCGCCCTCCCGTGGCCACAGAGGGGGCAGCAGGGACGGGGTGGGGTGAGCTTTTCTGGGAACAGAGGCCCCAGGGCTCTGCGGGAGGGGTGAGCCTACAGCTGGATCCTATCAGGCCAGATGCACTGCCAGGACTGGAACATTCTTGTGGTCGGCAGTGGTTGGGCGGGCTGGGCCGTCCCAGATGCCTGGGGTGGCTCCCTGACCTGCAGGACCAGGGTCCTGGGGGCAGGGATGGTCAGCGGTGCCCTTTGCCCCCAGCGTCTATCTTTGCAACTTGACTGGCTGCTATTCCGCAGCCTCGCCTGCCTGCAGACAGCCCCGCACCCACCCTGCCCCAGGTGTGGCTTCCTTTCCAGTGACTCATGCCACCTCCACCCCACACAGCCTGACTCACCGCTGCCCTGCGGGCCCCTCCTGTGCCCGGTGCCCCCGTGTGCCCCCCTCTGCCCCTGCACCCCATCCCCCCATGTGAGACGTATTCCTGCGCTGGGTGGCCCTTGTGATGAGTCATTGCTCAGTGATGTGCAGGGTCTGTTCAAACCCCAGCCTCTAAGGTGGCCCCTGGGGTCTGGATGGTTCTCTGGTCTAGGAAGGGCTGGTGGGCTCAGGACCTCAGAGCCTCTGGGAGCCGGGGGACAGGGGTCAAGGTGCAGGGTGTGCTTCTTCTCAGTGTAGCTCTGTGAGGAGGTGGGGGTCTAGAAGAAACAGTGGCAGCTGGGCACCCCCAGCCAGAGGCCACACAGGTGGGGGTCCCTGGGAGGCCTGAGGGCTGATAGAGTGTTCTTTGGAGGGCTCATGGCCTTGGCCTCGTGGGGTGCCCCCCGCCGTGTGATGGGACACCCTCCTGGGGGGCTGTGGGGTGCCTTCCAGCCAGTCCTGGCACCACCGGGTTTGCAGTGACATGTGGCCCACAGCAGGGCCCACCACAGGGGTGGGGGTGGGGGTGAGGAAACCCCAGCTTCCTGTTTCTGGAGAGCCAGGGTGTGGCTGCAGGGGAGGGGCCGCCCTCCTTCCCGCCTGCTGCCTTCGGGGAACACTCCCCTCTCTGGGGGGCGGGCAGGGTGGGGTGGGGCCCCGGGGGCGGGGGCAGCGGCTGAGAAGGGCAGCAGGCAGGGAGCGGCCACACCGACTCGACTCGGCTCCACTGAGCTGTGCAGCCGTCCCACGCCGCCAGCCGCAGCCGCCCGTGGGCCACGCCGTCGCCCCGTGCAGCACCCAAGGCCACGATGTCTCAGCACAGGTTCCGTGTGCCTGAGCCCCAGGGCCTGGGCCAGCAGAGAACCAGCTCAGAGGACAACCTCTACCTGGCTGTGCTCAGGGCCTCCGAGGGCAAGAAAGGTAGCGGCTGCCGCCAGGCAGGAAGGGCCACTTCCTGTTGCAGGAAGCTGTGTACCGGCTGGCCAGGGTCCGAGTGTGGGGTACAGAGGTAGACGAGGGGCTGGGGCTTGGCCCAGGGCACAGGGTGGCTGGGGAGCAGCCCCCATGCCCCTCACCAGGAGGGCTGGCTCACCATGGCAGCAAGGCCAGCAGGGGCCTCTGGGGCGTGGGGCAGTTGGGGGTTCTCTGTACCCTGTCGGGAGGGCTCCCGGCCCCTCTCCCCACACCCTGCCCAGCCCGAGGCCAGCACCCTGCACCCCTGCTCAGGTTTCGGCTGGGGCAGAGGCTGGTGGCACGTGTGGGGGTGGGGCAGGCTGAGACTTGCTGCTCCTTGAGCTCTGGCTGCAGCTGCCAGCCCTGGGCCCTGCCCATCGCAGGAGGGAGCAGACCTAGCACCTAGGACCAGGGCTGGCTGGGCCCTAGGTGTGGTCCTGAGGGGCCTGAGGCTGCAGCTGCTTCCGGGGGCTCGTCTCAGGTTGTATCTGACTGGCTGGGCCTTGTCTGTGCCCGTGGCCGCCCCCCATGGCCTTTTCCTCCTGCTCCAGACTGACCGTGTCCTTGTCTGTCTCCCCCAGACGAGCGAGACCGTGTGCAGAAGAAAACCTTCACCAAGTGGGTCAACAAGCACCTCATCAAGGTTGGTGTGCACGTGTATGTGTGTGAGTGTGTACATGTCTGTGGGTGTGTACACACGTTGATGTGTGACTGCGTGTGTACATGCGTGTGTGCGTGTGTCTCGGGCTGGGGAGATTCCCGCGGGGGTGAGGAGGGCTGAGATGCCCGTCGCTGGGTGGCACAGACGGGGGCCTGCCTCCGCGCCCCCATCCTGCCCTGCTGCTCTAACATTCAACTCTGAAACCTGTGATTTTCTGTCCTCTCCCTCCCCGGCTCTCTCCTGTCTCTCTTCTTCCTCCTCTTCCTCCGGGCGCCTCCTTGTAGCACTGGAGGGCAGAGGTAGGTGTCTCTGTGGGCAGGGCGGGCATGCTCTCTGGACCCCTGCGTGACCTTGGGTTCCTCTTTCCCTCTGGGGCCAGCACCCCGCCGGGGCCTGTGAGTCGCTCTGGGGCATGAGTGGCCGTCAGCACCCCCGCTGTCCCTACAGGCCCAGAGGCACATCAGCGACCTGTATGAAGATCTCCGTGATGGTCACAACCTCATTTCCTTGCTGGAGGTCCTCTCGGGGGACAGCCTGGTATGTGCCCACCGCTTGCCCTCCTCGGCCCTCCTCCCTCTCACCTGGACACCTTGCCTGCCTGCCTGTCCTCCCTGGGGCCTCCCACCTGCCCTTCCTGTCCAGCTCCGCCCCTCTTGCCTTCTCCCAGGGCCTCCTGGCCTTGCCCCCCACTGCACCTCTTGGTCCAGGGTGTTGGGAGCCACAGCCGAGTGCCCGCCTGGGTAAGGCTGTGAGCCCAGAGCCCAGGCCGTGGCTGCTGTGGCCCAGAATGCCCTACGCACAGGCTCCAACACAGTAATCTCATGCTCTGCTCTGCTTTGGTTTCTCTGCTGCTTGGACTCTGAACCTTGACCTCTGCCCTTTACCCTTTGCCCTGCTCTGGCCGGGCAGCCAAGAGAGCGGGACGTAATCAGGAGCTCGCGCCTGGTGAGTGGTTGGGCCCACTGGGCACGCAGCTCCCCGGATGGCCGGAGCCGTGCTCACCCAGCCTGACAGCCGATCTAGGCCGACCAAGGTCATCTGGCCTGGCACAGATGGCCGTACATGGCCGTACACCTGAGCCATCTGCTGACCTGCCTGCTGTCCTGCCCGTGCTGGGCTGGGAGCCGCCGTAGCTGCCACCACTGGGCGGGAGGACCCCAGTGCCCTGCCCTCCACCCCTGACTTCCTGGCTATTGTCTTGTCCCCACCCCCTTCCTTCCTCCCTGAAGCCCAGGCAGCTGGACTGCCCTGGCCCCTGCTGGGCCTGGCCCCAGGCGGCCCCCATGTCCCAGCTGGGGAGGGAGGGTGCACCGGGGTGTGGGGCTGCTGCTGTGCTGGGGGGACCCTGGGGTGGTTGCTGCAGCTGCCTGGAGAAGCCCGAGGGGGGCCTGGATGCCGCGCTGGGTCCACTGGCTCCCTCTGCTTTGTGGGCGCTGACCACTGTCCTCTCACAGCCCCGGGAGAAGGGCAGGATGCGTTTCCACAAGCTGCAGAATGTCCAGATCGCCCTGGACTACCTGCGACACCGCCAGGTAAGGCTGCCCGCCGGCCGCGGCCCCCGCCCCAGCGTGGTGCTGGGGGCTGGGACTGAGGGCACCTCCCTCACAGGTGAAGCTGGTGAATATCAGGAACGATGACATTGCCGACGGCAACCCTAAGCTGACCCTGGGCCTCATCTGGACCATCATCCTGCACTTCCAGGTAGTGTGGCCACCCACTGCCCCTCAGCCACCGCCTCCCCGGGGTCTCCAGGCCTGGTGTGTGGCCTGGGGGTGCGTGCTGCATGCCCTGCCCCACCCCATGCTAGCTCTGGGGCCTGAGAGGCCAGGCTGCTCCCCAGGCCCTGCCTCTCCTGCACCCTCTGGCCCCAGCTGGGCAGGGCAGGCAGCCTCCCCAAGGAGGAATGTGTCCTGTGCTCGAGGGCAGCTGCCTGCCCCGTGAAGCATTCTGGGGAAACTCAGCCTGGGCCGGCTGACTCACCCGGGGGCCTGCCCCACCGCACAGGAAGCCACAAATCCGAGAGCTGGGCAGGCTGAGCCTGGCTGGCACGGCAGCTGAGTCACACAGGCTGGCAGGCCGACAGACAGAGACAGACAGACGGGTGTGCAGGCGGGCAGACCCAGGCCTGAGGGATGGAGAAAGTGCAGGCCCAGGCCCACCTGCCAGGCTCACACAGACCCCACCCAGCCCCCCAGCCTTTAGGCAGAGAGGGAGGCTGGAGCTGCTCTCACCCCTTCCTTGGCCTGGGGGCTCTCGGGAAGCACCTGTGTGTGCAGCTCCCTTGCTTGTACCCACCCTCTGCCTCTGCCTCCGAGGACACAGGAAGGGCCAGGTCCCTTCTCCCTGGCTGAGGGGCTCCCAGGGTACCCACCTGAAGTGGCAGCAGTGGGGATGGGAACCTGACTTACTCCATGGCAGCCGTGGCTGGGCTGGCCTGGGCTTGTGGCACTGAGGTAGCGGGTGGTGGGCAGGGGCCCTGCCTCCTCCTGGGCACCCCTTCTCATGCACACGGGCACAGGGTGGCACGTGCCTGGCAGGGCGGCTGTGGCTGAGCCCTGCCCGTGGCTGCCCGCAGATCTCGGACATCCAGGTGAGTGGGCAGTCAGAAGACATGACGGCCAAGGAGAAGCTCCTGCTGTGGTCCCAGCGCATGGTGGAGGGCTACCAGGGCCTGCGCTGTGACAACTTCACCTCCAGCTGGCGCGACGGCCGCCTCTTCAACGCCATCATCCACCGGCATAAGTACGTGGAGGCTGGCCAGGGCTGTGCCCGGTGGAGGGTGTGGAGGAGGGCACAGCGGGGCCCTGGGGCATGGAGGAGGGCACAGCAGGGCCCTGGGGTGCGCAGCCGGAGACCCCAAACACCTCGGGACAGGAGGGGCGTCTGCACTGGTGGGAGCCATGGCCTGTGGCGGCGAGTGCAGGTGCCAGCCCCAGAGGAGGGTGCAGGCCATGTGGCCTGTGCCCCGCCCTCTTGCCGTCTTTGCTTTCTCCTGGACCCTTCTAGAAGCATCACTGGGGGACCAGCGGGATGTTGGTTCTCAACATCATGCGTGTGTGCCCTGTGGAGGCCTCCAAAGGGGCCTGGGCAGCTCGACCACAGTGGGCACAGCCCCTGGAGCCCCCAGAGACCTTGGCTCCCACCTGGGCCTGGACACTGTAGGAGGGTGGCTGTGGGTGCCCCTGTGCCTGGACCTACTGTCGGCTCCTGGGGCCCAAACTGCATAGTGCCCAAGTGTGCACGTGGGAGGGAGCGGTGGTGTTGGGGCAAAGGGAGTGCTTTCTGGGGTGCGGTGAGGTTGGATTCTGTTGTATCCATCTCGGTCCGGCTGTGTGACCGGGGCCCCCTGCATCTGGCCCTGCGTCTGCTCGCCTGCCACAGGCCAATGCTTATCGACATGAACAAGGTGTACCGGCAAACCAACCTGGAGAACTTGGACCAGGCCTTCTCTGTGGCGGAACGCGACCTGGGAGTGACACGGCTGCTGGACCCTGAGGGTATGTGTGCTGCCCCCTCTCTGATCGTGGTCCCCCTCTGATCCTGGCCCCCCAATCCTGGCCCCCTTCTGATCCTGGCCCCCCCATCCTGGTCCCTTTCTGATCCTGGCCCCCCTCTGATAAGACCCCCCCTCCGATCGTGCTCCCCCTCTGATCCTGGCCCCACAATCCTGGCCCCTTTCTGATCCTGGCCCCCCCATCCTGGTCCCTTTCTGATCCTGGTCCCCCTCCAATTCTGGCCCCACTCTGATCCTGGCCCCCCCAATCATGGCCCCCCTCCAATACCGGCCTCCCCCAGTCCCATTCCCCCCCACATCCCAGCACCCCTCCAATCCTGGTCCCCCCATCCTGGCCCCCCTCCAATCCCAGCTCCCCTCTCTGGCAGATGTGGACGTCTCCCATCCCGATGAGAAGTCCATCATCACGTACGTCTCATCTCTGTACGATGCCATGCCCCGTGTGCCCGACGTGCAGGATGGGGTGAAGGCCAACGTGAGTGGGGGCTGGCATGCAGGGGTCGGGGGCTGGCCCTGAACCTCACCCCGCCCTGACCCCTGCCTGCCTGCAGGAGCTGCAGCTGCGTTGGCAGGAGTACCGGGAGCTGGTGCTGCTGCTGCTGCAGTGGATCCGCCACCACGCCGTGGCTTTCGAGGAGCGCAAGTTCCCCAGCAGCTACGAGGAGATCGAGGTGCCGCCCGCTCCAGCAGGGGTCCAGGGCCTGGTCCGGGGCCGGGTGCCACTCCTGACCCAGCTTGTCCCCCCAGATCCTGTGGTGTCAATTCCTTAAGTTTAAGGAGACCGAGCTTCCTGCCAAGGAGGCTGACAAGAACCGATCCAAAGGCATCTATCAGTCCCTGGAGGTGAGTAGGGGTGCTGGGGGCGAGGCCTGGGAGGGGTGGGCCTCGGGGCTTGGCCTGAGCTCGGCCCCTGCCCACAGGGCGCGGTACAAGCGGGCCAGCTCAAGATAGCGCCGGGCTACCACCCGCTGGACGTGGAGAAGGAGTGGGGCAAGCTGCACGTGGCCATCCTGGAGCGGGAGAAGCAGCTACGCAGGGAGTTCGAGAGGTGGGTGGGGCTGCAGTGGACGGGGTTGTGGTGGGCGGGGCTGCGGTGGGCGGACCTGGGGCTGGCAGGCTGCGGTGGGCGGGGCTGCGGTGGGCGGACCTGGGGCTGGCAGGCTGCGGTGGGCGGGGCTGCGGTGGCAGGGGAGCCACCGGGGGTGAGTCATGGCGGGGAGGAAACCCCCGCAAGCTGGGAAGCCCGGCTGCAGCAGCGGCAGTGGGGCCTCCGGCGGGCAGCGGGCGGACAGCAAGGAGCGAGGCTGCCCCGGGGCGGACCCCGGGCCCCTCTCACGGCGGTGGGCACTTGGGCCGCAGGCTGGAGAGTCTGCAGCGCATCGTCAGCAAACTGCAGATGGAGTCGGGGCTGTGTGAGGAGCAGCTGAACCAGGCTGATGCCCTGCTGCAGGCGGTGAGGGGCGGGGTCGGGGAGGGCAGGAGGAGGCCGGGCAGAGGGTGAAGAGGGGGGTGGGGAGGGCAGGGGAGGGGGCGGGGCCGGGAGGCTGGGCTGGGAGGCGAAGGGGTGCTCCTGGATCATGCCCCGCCCTGCAGCTGCGGAGCCAGAGAGGGCAGGCCTGCTGAGGGTGGGGCAGGCCAGCTGGGCTCTGGGGAGTGCTGGGGGGCAGCTCTGGGGGCGGAGCCCAGGCCCAGGCTCTGCCCCCTGGTGTGCAGCCAGTCCTCACTGCCTGCTTGGTGCTGAGCTGACTTTGGGCAGCAGAGGGGACACCCAAGAGGCAGAGGCGCTCTTCCTTCCCCAGGCCTTGCCCCAGGGCTCATACGGGTCATGGGGGGAGTGTGGCCATTGCTGGTTGGGTGCTATGGGCCGGCAGGAGTAGGGTGTGTGGATCTGGGTGGGGGTTTTCGAGGACACGGAAGGAAGATGGGGGGAGGGGTAGGCCCGTGAGCCCACCCTCAGGGCATGAAGGGTGTGGTCCTGACCTGGGGGCAGCCTATGGGCCACCCACCCCACCTGGAGTGTGCTCTAGGAAGATGCGGGGGCTCTACGGGGAGTTTGGGGCGCCAGCTCTGAGGGTGGCCGCCACTTTGCAGGACATCCGGCTGCTGGCTGCAGGCAAGGCACCTCAGCGGTCAGGTGAGGTGGAGAGAGACCTGGATAAGGCGGATGGCATGATCCGGCTGCTCTTCAACGACGTGCAGACCCTCAAGGATGGGCGGCACCCCCAGGGCGAGCAGATGTACCGCAGGTGGGCCCCGCCCCCGCCCCCGCCCCGGGTGGCCTCAGCCTGGGCAGCCAGGCCCTGGCTGATCTTCCTGCTGTCTGTGCTGCCCCCAGGGTGTACCGTCTGCACGAGCGCCTCGTCACCATCCGTACGGACTACAACCTCCGACTGAAGGCTGGTGCCTCCATGACCCAGAGCGTGTCAAGACCCCCGGACCACGAGCTCGAGAGCTCCACCCTGCGCTACCTGCAGGACCTGCTGGCCTGGGTAGAGGAGAACCAGCGGCGGGTGGATGGCGCTGAGTGGGGTGTGGACCTGCCCAGCGTGGAGGCGCAGTTGGGCAGCCACCGTGGCCTGCACCAGTCTATCGAGGAGTTCCGGGCCAAGATAGAGCGGGCGCGTGCTGACGAGGTGAGCGGGCCCCGCGGGTGGGCGGGCAGGGCGGCAGCTGGGCCATACCACCACAGGGCTCACCCCCAGTCTCCTGCAGGGTCAGCTCTCCCCGGTCACCCGGGGTACCTACTGTGACTGTCTGGGCCGGCTGGACCTGCAGTACACCAGGCTGCTGGTGAGTGGCCAGTGGGCGGGGGGATGGCAGAGGGCAGGTCGCGGGGGTGTAGGTGACCTGCTGACATGCCTGCCCGCCGCCCACAGAACTCCTCCAAAGCCCGGCTTCGCGCCCTGGAGAGCCTGCATGGCTTTGTGGCGGCTGCCACCAAGGAGCTGATGTGGTTGAGTGAGAAGGAGGAGGAGGAGGTGGGCTTTGACTGGAGCGACCGCAACGCCAACATGGCCACCAAGAAGGAGAGCTACTCGGTGAGGCAGCAGGCGGCTCTCAGCCTTCTGTGACCGGACCCCTTGCACCCCCATGCCTGTGGCCGTCCCCCACCAATCAGGAGGGAGCACGGGGCCTTGGGCCTTGTCTGCTGAGACACTGGTGGGGGCCCACATGTCTCTGAGACCCCGTGGCTCTGTGCCAGGCCCTGATGCGTGAGCTGGAGCTGAAAGAAAAGAAAATCAAGCAGATCCAGAACACTGGAGATCGGCTGCTGCGCGAGGGCCACCCTGCACGGGCCACGGTGGAGGTGGGTGGGGGGGGTCGCGGAAGGACCATTCAGGAGCCCCCCCAGTGAGGATGAGAGTGGGGCCGCGGAAGGACCACCTGGGGTCCCCCACACTGAGAATGAGGGTGGGGCTGCAGTAGAACCACCCGTGGTCCCCCACAGTGGGATTGGGGGTGGGGCTGCAACAGAAGCCCCTGGGGTACCCCACAGTAGAGCTCAGAGCATGGAGGGGGCGGGCCCTGGAGGGGGCGGGGCCCCAGAGCGGCAGGGCCCTGACATTCTGGGGCTGTAGTCGTTCCAGGCAGGCCTGCAGACCCAGTGGAGCTGGATGCTGCAGCTATGTTGCTGCATCGAGGCCCACCTGAAGGAGAACACCGCCTACTTTCAGGTAAGAGCTGGGCTGCCCGACCCCGCCACAGCCAGAGTGCTCAGGAGCCCCTAACCCAGCCCTTTGCCCACCCCGTGTCTGTCCACCCTTCGTTAATCTCCTCCTGCGCTGCCTCCAGGGAGCCCTCTCAGCGCTGCCCCGTCTTGTCGGCAGGCCCCTCAGCGTGTCCGGGCAGCTCTGGCAGGGGGCTGGTGCTGTGGCGGAGGCTAGCGCTGTGAACCCAGTGTGACCCCTTTCTGCTGCCCCAGTTCTTCTCAGACGTGCGGGAGGCAGAGGAGCAGCTGCAGAAGCTACAGGAGACACTGCGCAGGAAGTACACCTGTGACCGTTCCATCACTGTCACCCGCCTGGAGGACCTGCTGCAGGATGCCCAGGTGAGTCGATCACCTGGCCGCAGCCTCAGCACCCAGGCCTGTGGGACCATGAGCTGGCCGGGCCCCCAGGTTCAGGGAGGACGGTGGGGCCGGGGCCTTGCTGGAGCGCGGGGGTGAGGGGCTGGTCTGGCATCTGGCTGTCTGCTGCGGCTGTAAGAGATGCTTGGGGAAGGTTTTCTGGAGGCACCCAGAGGACTAGTGGGGCCCGCAGGGGTGGTGGGGTGGGGCGGGAGACGTGGCAGTCATGAGGGGGTGTGAGGCCAGAGGTCTGAGCAGGGTGCAGGGTTGTGATGTGGCAGGTCCAAGAAGTTAATGGCAGGACTCTGGAGTGGTGGCAGGAGCTGGGGACAGCGCGTGTGAGCCCACCAGAGAGTCCCTGGGTGGACAGAGGCCAGAGTTAGCTGCTCTACTAGCAGCCCTCTGGGTCCACTGGCATTTGGGCGGGGGCGTCTGGGGGGGCGCTGAGGGGAGGGCAGGGGCTTCTGGGGGGCTGAGGGGAGGGCAAGGTGGCAGCTAACGTGCTGTGGGAATGGGGTGGGTGGTGGAAAGGTGGGTGGAAGGGGACCCGGCAGTGGAGGAGGGCCAGAGCTGGTGCTCCCAGATGTGGTGGAGACAAGCTGAGAAGCTCTGTGAGCAGGGAGGGGACAGGAGGAGGTGCCCACTTGGTCAGGAGATGGGGATAGAAAAGGTGGGCGAGGAGTGCGGTTGGTTCCAGGATGGTCTCTGGCCTCTTAGCCTTCAACGGTCCTTGCTAAGCTTTGGTCTTGTGGGGTGGGTGACCTTCCACAGTCTCAGTATCCTTGGCCAGGGAGGGGAGTGGGGGAGAGGACATTGCAGGGTCCGCGGGGGCCGGCTCAGGCCCGAGCATGGGGTGCCTCGTGCCCTGCCCAGCCTCAGAGCACTGGCTTCAGGAGCCCCGAGGGGGACTGCAGACTCACCACCTCCGACGTTGGAGGTGTTGGGGTAGCTGTGCACTGCTCTTGGGGTGGGCAGGGCCTCAGCCAGGCCTCTTATGTGGATAGTGGACTCTTCCTCCCTGACCGTCTCCTCCCGCAGGACGAGAAGGACCAGCTGAACGAGTACAAGGACCACCTGTCTGGCCTGGCCAAGCGGGCCAAGGCCATCGTGCAGCTGAAGCCCCGCAACCCTGCCCACCCGGTTCGGGGCCACCTGCCGCTGCTGGCCGCATGTGACTACAAGCAGGTGGAGGTGAGGTGGGCGGGGCTCGCAGGGAGACAGGGAGGGGCTCTGGAGGCAGAGGGCTGGGAGCAGGGGCTGCACTGTGGCCTCGAGGCTGACCTGGCCCGGCCCCCAGGTGACCGTGCACAAGGGGGACGAGTGCCAGCTGCTGGGCCCCGCGCAGCCGTCCCACTGGAAGGTCCTCAGCAGCGGTGGCAGCGAGGCTGCCGTGCCGTCCGTCTGCTTCCTTGTGCCCCCACCCAACCAGGAGGCCCAGGAGGCCATCACCAGGTGGGCGCCCGGGGGGTCTGGCCGCAGGCAGGGGTAGATGGCGGGCCGGTGCCCAGAGCCCCATTGATGGTGCCCCTGCCTGCCAGGTTGGAGGCCCAGCACCAGGCCCTGGTCGCGAGGTGGCACCAGCTGCATGTGGACCTGAAGAGCCTCCTGGCCTGGCAGAGCCTCAGTCGCGACGTACAGCTCATCCGCTCCTGGTCGCTGGTCACGGTACGGGCATGGGGGCCACGTCTATCCTATCCCCACCCTGCCCCCGTGGGCCCCCAGGGCCGTGTGTCTGTGCCTGCTGTGCTCAGTGCCCCTGCTGCCCGCAGTTCCGCACGCTGAAGCCTGAGGAGCAGCGCCAAGCCCTGCGCAGCCTGGAGTTGCACTACCAGGCCTTCCTGCGAGACAGCCAGGACGCCGGCGGCTTCGGGCCCGAGGACCGGCTGCAGGCTGAGCGGGAATATGGCTCCTGCAGCCGCCACTACCAGCAACTGCTGCAGAGCCTGGAGCAGGGTATGTGGTGGGCAGCGTGGGCAGGCGGCCATGGTCTGGGCAGGGCAGCAGGTGTGGGTGGGCAGGGCGG